ATTGTTATTACTAAGGTCACCAAATACCTTCATCTTTCCAAATTTAGTTGTTCTCTGTCCTCTGCTTACTTGAACTCTCAGCAGCCTTCAACTCAATTGATCATCCTCTCCTTAAGTCACTTTTCTTTGGCTTTCCAGATGCCATGGATGTCTCCTCTGCCAGATCCTTCTCCTCTTGTCTGACCTTTGAATGACAGTTTACAGGGTTCCGTCTTGGCCTTCTTAATTTCTCTATCTATACACTTTCCCTAGGTGAGCTCAGATCTGACCTCTTTTACTGAGCTGTAGGACTTGTATATCCAGTTGTCTAATTGACATATCCACTTGGGTGTTTGATAGTCATCCCAAATTTAACATTGCCCAAATCTTTTTTTTTTCCCCAAAATCTCTCTGGATTCCCCCTTAAAACCTCTTCCTCAATTAAAGATCACATATTGTCTGGTTTATGTGAAATGTCCAGAATAGGCAAATCCATGGAGACAGGAAGAAAATTAGTGATTTTCTACCCATTAGAATAGGCTAATGGGTAAAGGGTGTCTTTTTGGGGTGATAAAAATATTCTGGAATTAAACGGTGATGGTTACACAACTCCATGATTACTAAAACCCATTGGATTGTGCACTTAAAAGTGAACTTTAGACTGGGCTCAGTGGCTAACTACTATAATCCTAACACTCTGCAAGGCTGAGGTGGGCGGATTGCTCAAACTAAGGAGTTCAAGACCAGCCTCAGCAAGAGCAAGACTCCATCTCAGGAAAAATTAGCTGGGCGTGCTGGTGTGCACCTGTAGTGAATTTTATAGTATGTGAATTATATCTCAATAAAACTATTATAAAAAATAGTTAAATTAGGTCACTCCTTGCTTAGGGCCTTCTCTGCTTAAAACATTATCAGTGGTTTCCTATTGCATTTCAAATAAAATTCAGACTCTTCATCATGACCTTCAAGTCCCAGTGCAATCTGCCCATGCCTCCCTCTGACCTCTGCTTTACTCATGTGCTCCAGCCACACCAGCCTCCTTACTATTCATCAGAGATGCTGATGGAATAGTAATGTTTGGAATGTTCTTATTCAGGTCATTCTTTCTAAAATATTTCTTCATAATACATAAATATTTACTTTTCCTTTCTCATTCACGAGAATGTTTGTTTAAGGGCAGGCATGCTGTCTTATTTACTATACTCCCAACATTTATGACAGGTTCTGGTACATAATTTGCTTAGTAAATTCTTTTTGAATTAATAAACTATGTAGATCTTTTGCTTTAGTTAACAAAAAGATTTTATAAATAGAGTAGCGATTAGTTACTGTCTCTGATATAAATGACTCGGGAAAATTGAATCAGAAGAGTAGAAAGATGACTTTATTACATTATTAGGAAGCTCTTGATTCCTACATTTTGATTTATGATTCTTATTATGAGTTGGCTTTGGTTTAGCATCTCAAAGTATGAACTAATTCCACCTATAAAAATGGCTACACAGAATCCCCCAAGAATCGAACAATTATTAGAATGGCAAATAGGGACGCTGCATTTTGAACTTAACTGATTTTTTTTTTTTTTTGCAGCCAAGTCATCTGTATAGTTTGTAACTTCATTTGTGATTTTTCATTTGTGCTATTATTTTTTTCTTTAGGGGCCTTGGACAAGTTGTTACTGACTATATTCATGGGGATGCATCGCAGAAAGCTGCCAACGCAGGCCTTTTGGCACTTTCGGCTTTAACCTTTGCTGGGCTTTGTTATTTCAACTATCATGACGTGGGCATCTGCAAAGCTGTTGCCATGCTGTGGAAGCTCTGACCTTTTTTACTTAATACCTTAAGAATTGATTGTGTGCCTCTTTGCCTCTGCTTTGTCATGCCATTCAACTCATAATAAGGAGGAAATAGCAGCTAAGTCCATTGGTGGACGAATAATAACATGGTAATTTTCAAAATTTAATCTTTGAGGAAAAGATTTGAGAGGTATTGATTGTGTCCAAGAAGTTGTGAGACTGTGTTCTATATTCTGGTGAGTTAATGGAGTTGTCTTTCAACTTCTCACGAGACTCACAGTATAACTAAACATTATATATGAGCTTTTGCCTTTTAATTATCAATCTCTTAAAGAGAATTCAGCTTTATTACTATCAGTACATGAACAAACTTCTATATTTGTTCTGGGGATCATGGACAAAGGGAAAGACTGTTAATTCATGAATAAAGACTTTGCAGAAAAATAGATAGTGTTTAATTTTTGAAAACTTCCCTGTCTTGTTGATACCAGCTCCTGATGGTCACATATCCTAGGGAAACTTTAAAATTAGGTAATAGTGATATCTTACATTATGAATTTCTAAATCCTAGGAAGAAAAGCTTAGAGAGCTTCTAAATATAGAAAATTCCATTTAAAGACTAGGTCCCCCTTGTAGATGCATCAAAATATTACAAATTCTAAACTGACACTTAATCCTCTAATGCGTTTTACTTGTTCTAAAATAATCTGTCCACAAATATAAAACTATAAGTAATAAATTGTTATTTTACCACTGTGGAGATCTAATGTGAAAATGTATTCTATGAAAAGAAATTTAAAAAAATGTTGTGTAATAAAAATATATTCTACTCTTTATGTATTAGATGTCCCTGGTTTTATTAATTAGAACTATGTGTCTGTTGCATCTATGGCACTAAAACAGAACTGAGTATTTAAATTTCCTTCTAGGTCTTAGCAATTAGGTAAATCAGACACAAAGTACTGTAATATAAAAAGGACTTACATGTAATAGGCACAAATATATTAAGTATAAGTAGTTTGGTATGAGTAGACTATTAAGATTTATTAATAGGAATTAAAACTATACCCAGATTATCATGTTCTGTGAATACCAGCCTTTGGAATTCAAATTATATTCTGTGTACATTTCGTCTCATCTAAGAGTTGAGTGTAAGACATAAGGGTTTTCTCTAGCAATATAGAGTAATTGGTATTTAGCACATTTCACTCACCCAGGACCTTACTGGGCAGAGGAGGCTAACAAAGGGTAGCTAGCTAGAAGCTAGTCTGTCATGAATGTCTGCGTAGTAGGGGTTAAAGACAAGCTGTCCTTAATGTGCCTGTGGACTTGTAGGAGATTCAGATGTGCATTAAGGGTTTAGGTAGAGATGATTAATTCTCTTTTGGGGTAGGTAAAAGGTTTCAAATGGCAGTGGCTCACCTGTGGGTGGTGGTGGTGAAACCAGTCCTCCCTGGCAGGAAAGAATACTTTATTACTGACATTGTTTAGAATTTCTGGTGCTTGATGATGATAAAAAGCAGGTTGGCTTTTAGTCACTTCTATTATTTTTAAATTCTCTAGATGATGGACTCCCCCATATCCCTACCCCACTCCTTAGTGTCATTCCTCCCTTCCTCCAGCCCCCAGTATACCACTGCTGTTTCATGGAGTTTAAAGTCAAAATGGGGAGAGCAGAGACTCTGGATAATAGGGGAATCCTGTAGCCACCAGTACTATGAGATCCTAGTTTGGATCTGGAAGGATGTCTAGTGCTAGTGTTTCATTAGATGGTGAATGGAGAGGTTCAAGTAGAGGATGGCGAGGTACTGGCTTGCCCTTGGTCACACTTGGTTTGGTAATTAGTATGGAGCTGAGCTGTCTCTGGGAAATCAGTCAGTTGCTGTGAACTGCTGGAGCAGCAGAGAAAATGAGGGAAGGGCTAACAGGAGTAGGAGATCTCTGAGGGTAAGCAGATCAGACTGCTTTAGAAAGAATTTAGGTGACATTAGGCAGGTTGACAAGCTAGAGGCAAAAGGACATGCAAGGGGATAGAAGTAGAGGAAAGGGCCTAAACTTTGACAGTGGTAGTGGAAGTAGGAATTAATTTCAGAAGGTATTGTAGCAGTGAAAAACATTCCATTCTTCATTTGAAAGACACTAAGTACCTCATGTCATTGGCACTGTGCCAGGTACTGTGGATAAAGAGAAAATTTTATCTGCCCTTTAAAGGAATTCATAGTCTAATTGTGGCAACAGATAAATCATTGCAATACAGTGTGATAAGTGTAATAATAGTGAAGCACATTATTATGCAGTAATATAACAAAAGGTACAGTAAGAATTTGCAAGTTTCCTGGAAGAGAAGATTCTTGAAAGATAAGGAGCTGACAATGGCCAAGAAAGCTGGGGTGAGGTGTAAGATTTCCTGGAAGATGGTAGACCAAGCAGAAGATTACATGTAATTCAGCTGGGCGTGGTGGCTCATCCTTGTAATCCTAGCACTTGGTAGGCCAAGGTAAGAGGATTGCTTGAGGTCCGGAGTTTGAGAAGATTGTAATTTGGTATGACTGTAGCAGAAAGGGACTGTTTGTAGAGAACCTTTTATGCTACGGTAAGTAATTGAGACTTTGTCTTGCTGGCAGTAAGGAATCACTGAAGACTGTTAATTATGCAAATGACATGGTCAGATTTTTATTTTAAGTAGGTTATGCCGGCAGCTGGGTAAACTATGGATTTGAGGGAGGTAAGCATGGAAACGGAGATTATTTCAGTGGCTCAGAAAAGAAACGATGAGTTCTGAAGGCAGTAGTAGCCAGAATGAAGGAGAGTGCAAACTCTAGAGATGTTTAGAACTTAGAATTAATGAGTTATACCAGGTGTGAAATATTTAGTGAGGAAGGAGTCTATGCTCAGTTGTTTTTTTTTTTTGTCATAATTAGATGGATGAGAAGTGGTATCATAGAGAAAATTTTTGAAGGAAAATGAGATATGGTAGTGGAGGGATAGATAACTACTAAAGTTTTGAATTTGTGAGATCCAGTAATAGATAGAATTTGTAGATTTCTATTTCTGGCAATATGGAAGACTGAATTTCAGAAAATATTTTGATATGAAGCCTGTAAGAATGTTAAACAGGAACACTTTTTTTTTTTTTTTTTTTTTTTTGAGACAGACCCTCACTGTGTTGACCGGGCTAGAGTGCCATGGCATCAGCATAGCTCACAGCAACCACTAACTCCTGGGCTCAAGCGATCCTTCTGTCTCAGCCTCCCGAGTAGCTGGGACTACAGGCATGTGCCACCATGCCCAGCTAAACAAGAACACCTTTAAAAACATATTGAGTTTGCAAAAGAAAATCCTCCTGAAGCCAGAACAAAATGAGCATGCATTGAGGGAGGTAAGCAGATGCTGAGGGAATTTGCCCCGGGAGCATCTACCAATCCTAGGTGGCCTAGAGTTCTGGCCTTAAAAAGGTGATGGAAAGCTTTGGGCTCAAATCAGGGAGTTAGAGTGATGACTCCCTAAAACTACAAAGAGTTTTATCTCAGAGAAAGGGTAAATTAGAAAAAGTAATTTATACCTGAAAAATCAGAGTGCAGAGAAACTTACCTGTCTTGCCTTGGTTCTGGTTGGAGGAAAGAAAGTCTCTGAAGGCCAGTCCTTATGCCATGTTGGGGCCTGAGTTCCTATTACCTGTATGCCTAAAAAGATGACATGATGTGAATTTAACATTTACCTAAGTTGGTAGGACCTGACAGAAGTAAACACAAATCCTCCCTTTAAGGTGTCCCTAATACAAGCCTCAAAAATCCCCACAAAGTTCCAGCGAACATGAACTTCCAGTAAAAAATCACAGTGTAGGTACACCCTGAATGACAGCACAAATAACAAGTGGAACCATACCCACAAAGAATTCAGACCCTGGAATTTTGAGATACAGATCATAAAGAGAAAATGAGATCTAAGTCTAAATATAAATCAGTTATCAAAAGGTCTTTAGAGACAATGGTCTATACCTGGCATTATCTTCTCAGTCCATAGAAGCTTGGAAAGTGGATGTCTACTTAGAAAAGTTGTTAGTTTCTCTGGAGACTTAGGAGTGTCAGGGTCAGTTCTCAGTGGGACTGGATATCCAGGTTCTAGGATCCTAAGCAAGTTTACACTACACTGGGAAGCAGGTATGGATACCAAGGCTGTCAGCCTGGAGCTTAAGAACTGTATATAAGGTTAAAATGCCCAAAATGTTCATTTCCAGTGTGCTTCTAAGGCTAACATTTATTGGTGTGTCTTCTAATAAATCTAGTCTCCCAGTTGTATATTATACTGGTGATGAGGGGAATCACAATATATCTGATGATATCCCTTTAAGAAATATAGTTGGCCATAAGACCATGTATATGAAACTCATTTTTGAAAAAAATACAAGAAGATTGCTACATACCAAGAATGAGTCAAACCCAACCTCATGGATGAGTCAAGCCCAACCTCATGGAGTCTTCCTATAATAGTTTAATATCAGTGCTTATGAAGATTTTAAGAAGTAAATTGCAATATCTTTAGGCCTAAGGTATAAAACTTTTAAAACTAAGGGGGGAAAAGCTCTAGTCTATCAGAAAGTTATAAGCTATTATTAAAAAGTATTTAAAGGATTATGATTTGGTTAACTGAATTAAATCTATTTGTAAATGTTCAGATGGTCTTTGGGCATTTCTTCATGTATTTATTTCTGCAGTATGATTATTAAAATGAGTAATATTTTGTTACCTGTTGAGTCTCTTATGTAAACATTTTTTGACTAATATTTTATAAAATTTGGACCAATTTATCCCTGTAATTTGGGTTATTTTTATTAAAAAAAAGTTTTTTGAGACAGTATCTCACTCTGTTGCCTGGGCTGGAGTATAGTGGCATGTTCATAGCTCACTGCCACTTTAAACACCTGGGCTCAAGCAATCCTCCTGCATCAGCCTCCTAAGTAGCTCCTATAAGTGCATGCCATGACACCTGGCCAATTTTTCTATTTTTTGTAGAGATGGGGTCTTGCTCAGGCTGATCTTGAACTTAAGTAATCCTCCTGCATTGGCCTCCCAAAGTGCTAGGATTATAGGCGTAAGCCACCACATTCAGAAACTCCTCATTTCTTAAAAAAGCTTCCAGTTGTGTGTATTGTCACTTTAAAACAAGGTGTTTTCTTGGGCAGAAAGCATTATTAAAGATAGAATCATTACATTATGATAAAGTTCAAAATTCACTGATATGTTACAACTATCCTGAACCTGTGTGCACCTGTTATTCATAGCCTCAAAATTTCTAAAACAAAAATTAACAAAATTCCAAAAGAAAGTGTGGAAAGTGTCAAGTGTGTTTCAGAGATAGATTAATTAGACAAAAATGAATAATGACTTAGAAGATTTAAACAATAAAATTAACAAGCTTATTTAGTAGCGATACATAGAACTTTGAACCCAGCCATTAGAGAATATATATTCTTTTCAAGAAAATTTCTGGCCATATATAGAGAGACTACCAAAAAGCTTCAACAAATACTGAAGAATGATAATATAATACAAAATGACTTGAGAAGGGGCTTTAAGATGGCTGGCTAGATGCATCTGGTACCCTCCTCTTCCATAAAGAAGAACCAAAATAGCAAGTACACGATCACAGTTTCAATAGATCATCTAAGAGAGCACTGGAATTCAACAGAGAAGTGATAGGAAACACTGAAAGCAAGGAAGGAGAGGGACGAGAGGCAGCCTGCTCAGCTGGGATCGGCTGGGAGCCTGAAGAAGCTCCTTAATATGGTGAAAGGATAAGTGAGCAACCTCCAACAGTTCACATTCCCACCACGGACACCTGCAATCTTAGCCATGGGACAGTTCCTCGACCCTCATGGGACCTGAGATTAACATAGGGACCTTCCTGGAGACCAAGCAACAGCACTGCTCCAGGGAGGGAGCTCACATTGAGTCCCTCAAACCCCCATGTCCTAAGCGGCTACAGTACTGTGCCATTTTTAGAGCTCAGCCTCCACCAGAACTGTGTTCTGCTCTGGGGCCCAACATCCCCTGCATCTCCTTGTCCCCAGGGCCCCAATGACATTCCCTCCCTGCAACCACTGCTGCCAGGGCTGAGTGTGGAGCAATTGACAGCAACCTTGCCCCCAAGCCCCCAGCAGAGGGGAAGCTGTGCATTTTCACATGCCCTGAGGACAAATTCCACTGTCCACAATGCTGTGGGGTGCTGCAGAGCTGACATAGGAGTGAAGTGAGCACTCCCCAGCCACCTGCCTAGGGCTGCTCTCAATGAAAACAACCCCACCCTCCCCAGTAGCACCACATCTGGATCTGTCTGTCCTGCAAGCACCACCTACTGGCAGGAGATTCAATCATACAGGGCTTGGCTGACTCTTACCCACAAGTACCACCTACTGACCTGGAGATTAAACTGGATACCTGAATATAATTCACACTGTTAAGAAATCCACAGGGTTGGGGAAAGAGAAACATTTCAAATACCTCCATCTTCCCTCCTTGACAAGAGGCAGGGAATCTACCCACACCTATAGTATACCACCACTACAGTCTACAAATAACCAGCAATTAGGAAAACCCCCACACCAAGGCTATCTGTAACCAAGGTATTCATTCAGAACCTAGGTCCCCCTGAAAGTACCCACAAGCAAAGCCAAAGTTCCTTACCCATCATAGGCTGCTGTCAAACCTTTAAGAAGGAGGGGGAAAAGCCCCATTTAAACAAAAGATGATTCAAAAACAAGAAGTAACAGCTGCTCCAGCTGAAAAAGAATTTAAATCACAGTGAAAGGACTCCCCCTACTGCTAAAAGCATCACACTAGCTCTTTGGCAATGGATCTCAAGCAAAATAAAAATACTGAAATGACAGATAAAGAATTCCATATATGGATTATAAGGAAGCTTAATGAGACCCAAGAGAAAAATGGAAAACCAACTCAGAGAAACCAGAAAAGGGCTGGCTTTATAAAAACAACAACAACAACAAAGAAACCAGAAAACCAGAAAAGTAATTTAGGAAATGAATAAAAAATTTACTAAAGAGATAGATGTATTATTAAAAAAACAAACAGAACTTCAGGAAATGAAAGATTCATTTAGGGAAATTCAAAACACAGTGGAAAGTTTTAAGAATAGAATAGACTAAGCAGAAAAAAGAATTGCAGAGTTTGAAGACAATTCTTTCCAATTAACCCAGGCAGTCAAAAATAAAGAACAAAGAATCACGAGAAACAAAGTTTCCAGGAAATATGAGATTATGTAAAGTACCCAAATAAAGAATCATAGATATCCATGAGGGAGAAGAAAAAGCAAAAGGTCTGGAAAACCTATTTGAGGGAATAATTGAATTTAAACATCCAGATACAAGAAGCTCAATGAACATCTGGAAGATTCATTGCAAAAAGGACATCGCCAAGGTGCATAGTCATGAGCCTGGCCAAAAGTCAACATGATGGAGGAATTCTTATAAGCTGGGAGGCAAAAACATCAAATAGCTTACAAAGGTAAACCCATCAAACTTACTGCAGAATTCTCAATAGAAACCTTACAAGCCACAAGGGATTGGGATCCTATCCTTAGCCAGAATAACAGAATAACTGTCAGCCAAGAATTTTGTATTTTGCAAAACTAAGTTTCGTAAATGAAAGAGAAATAGTGTTTTTTCCAGACAAACGCTAAATGAATTTACCACTACTAGATCCGCCCTACAAGAGATGTTCAAAAGTCTTAAAAAGTCTAAAAGAACAGTTGGTAGTCACCAGCATAAAAACACCCAAAAGGAAAAACTCACAGTTTTTATAAAACAGTAACACAAGGGAGAATACAAAGCAACTGGTGACCAACATGATGACGAGAAGAGTATCTCATTTATTGATATTAACATTAATTGTAAATGGCCTAAATGCTTCATGTAAACGACATAGATTGGCAAAATATATATATTTTGAAAAACACAACTCAAATATCTGCTGTCTCCAAGAAACCCATTTAACTCAAAGATTCTCAGAGACTCAAGGTAAAGGGGTGGAAAAAATATTCCTGGTAAGTGGAAATCAAAAGTGAGCAGGAATAGCTATTATCATATTAGATAAAACAGACTTTAAATCAATAATAGTAAAAAAAAAAAAGGCAAAGGGATCCATTTAACAAGAAGATATAACAATCCTAAATATATGCACCTAACACCAGAGCCCCCAGATTCATAGAACAAATACTACTAGGCCTAAGGAAAGAAAGAAATGACAACAAAATATAACAGTAGTGGCGGACTTCAGTGCTCCACTGACATAACTAGATAGATCATTGAAGCAGAAAATCAACAAAGAAATACTGAACTTAAATGAGACACTAGAACAAATGGACCTAACAGACATTTATGGAACGTTCTGCCCCCAAACTGCAGAGTATACATTCTTCTTATCAGCAAGAGACATTTTTCAAAAGAAAAGAAACAAAAATGGTCAACAAACATGAAAAATGCTCAGTATCACTAATCATTACAGAAATGCAAATTAAAACCACAATGAGACACCACCTTACCCCTATCAGATTGGCCATTTTTTTTTTTTTTGAGACAGAGTCTCACTCTTTGCTCCAGGTAGAGTGCCATGGCATCAGCCTAGCTCATAGCAACCTCAAACTCCTGGGCTCAAGCAATCCTGCTGCCTCAGCCTCCTAAGTAGCTGGGACTACAGGTATGTGCCACCATGCCCGGCTAATTGTTTCTATATATTTTTAGTTTGCCAATTAATTTATTTCTATTTATAGTAGAGACGGGGTCTCGCCCTTGCTCAGGTTGGTTTTGAACTCCTGACCTTGAGCTATCCTCCCGCCTCAGCCTCCCAGAGTGCTAGGATTACAGGCGTGTGCCACCACTCCCAGTCTGATTGGCCATTATTAAAAAGTTTAAAAAAAAAAGATGCTGGTGCAGATGCAGTGAAAAGGGAATTCTTATACACTGTTGATGAGAATGTAAAATAGTACAACCTCTATGAAAAACAGTATGGAGATTTCTCAAGGACCTAAAAGTAGATCTACTATTTGATGCAGCAATCCCACTACTGGGGATCTACCAAAGGAAAAGAAGTCATTTTATAAAAAACACACCAGTACCCATTTGTTTATTGCAGCACAATTCACAATCTCAAAGATATGAAACCAACCTAAGGTTCCATTGATGAGTGAATAAAGAAAATGTGCTATCTATATACCATGGAATACTATTCAGCCATAACACTCAGAATGAAATAATGTCTTTTGCAGCAACTTGGAACTGGAGGCCATTATTCTAAGTGAAGTAGCCTTGAAACAAAAAACCAAATACGTGTTACCCCAAAAATAAGACGGGGTCTTATATTTATTTTTCCTCAAGAAGACACCTTAGGTCTTATTTTCAGGGAATGTGTTATTTTTTTAAGTATGGTACAACAATCTACATTTATTCAAATATAGTTAAGTCATCTTCTTCTGAAATATCATCATAACTCTCCAAACCCCCAATTCCATCCTGAATTTCTTGCAACTCGATTTCCTTTAGAACCATTGGCCCCAATCTCTCATGTGGAGCAATAGAGCTCTCATGAGGCAGATGAGAAGGGCTGCTTGTCTTCTTACTGCTCCAAAATGCATGGGTTGTGCAGATATGCTGCGTATCCACGCCCATCACTGGGTCTTATTTTCAGGGTAGGGCTTATGTTGCACAAATGCTTAGAAATCCTGGTAGGGCTTATTTTATGGGTAGGTCTTATTTTCGGGGAAACACAGTACTGTTATGTTCTCACTTATAAGTGGGAGCTATGTAATGGGTCATTCAGAGTGACTTAATGGACACTGGAGACTCGGAAGGGGGAAGGTGGGAGGGGAGTACAGGATGCAAATTTACCTATTGGGTACAATGTATACTATTCAGGTGACAGGTAAATGATTCATCCATGTAACAAAAAACACTTGTACCCTCTGAATCTATTTAAATTAAAAAAGATTGATGTACATAATTTTTAATAGCAATAGAGGCCGGGCGCGGTGGCTCACGCCTGTAATCCTAGCACTCTGGGAGGCCAAGGTGGGAGGATTGCTCGAGGTCAGGAGTTGGAAACCAGCCTGAGCAAGAGTGAGACCCCGTCTCTACTATAAATAGAAAGAAATTAATTGACCAACTAATATATATAGAAAAAATTAGCCAGGCATGGTGGCGCACGCCTGTAGTCCCAGCTCCTCAGGAGGCTGAGGCAGCAGGATCACTTGAGCCAGGAGTTTGAGGTTGCTGTGAGCTAGGCTGACGCCATGGCACTCACTCTAGCCTGCGCAACAAAGCGAGACTCTGTTTCAAAAAAAAAAAAAAAAATAGCAATAGAGTACTCCATATTGTATTTTTGGCCACCCAAAAGTCAAAAATACAGCCCCGTTCTCCCTTGTTAATGCTCATTGTAGAGGCTGAAAACAGTAGACATTCTTTTTTCTAAACCTCCCTTGCAGCAAGAAGTGGCTGTATGTGCCAGTTCTGATTAAGGAACGGTAAAGAGAAGTCTGCAGAGAACTCTGGCAAAGATGTACCCCAAACTGAGGCTTTTTCTGCCTTACCTGCAGCTCTGCCTCCTGCCTCTCAGTTCAGTCAAATGAGAACATGATACTTGATGCTGCTCCAGCCATATTGTGACCACAAGCTGGCAAGCCTAAAAGTGACAAGCCGCCATGCTGAGGATGAGAACAGAAAGGCAGAAAGAACCTGGGACTGGGATGACATCCTTAAACTGCTACCCCAAACCTGGATCTGCCTGCCTCCAGACAGCTTTTTCTGAGATATTCTGCGGTAGTGCTGGCTTTAGGTGAGATAGTAGGCGGCTATTCTGTTGCTTGCAGTCAAAAGGAAACCTACCTAATATGTATGAATACTCCATAATCTATTTAACTGGCCCTCTAGCTACATATTTAGCTTGATTCTATTTTCTTTTCTATCATAGATAATATTGTGATCAACATTTTTGAATACACATCACTGTCTTTTGGTGAGCCTATTTTTTTGGGTTTTGTCCTTATCTTTTACATCTGAGAAATTTATTCAAATTTGTCTTCTGTTGCTAATTTTATTTCGAAAGAATGAATTTTGTTTTTTTACTCCTTATCCTGTGTCTTTCATTCCTTTTCAATTCGTCCTTTTCTTTCTCCCCTTTCATCACATCTACTTTATCTTTCATCTTAGCCTATATTTATCTTTTTCTGTTGCGGCGTTCATGCCTTCCTTATTTCTACTTAGCATGCTCAACAATTTCTGAGAATTTTTTTCTGGCTCCTGCAAAAAATCATTCAGATATATTAATATGGAGAGCTTTTGAACCTCTGGAATATTTTTTCCTTTCTCTTGTTTAATAGTTTTGGTTTTTAATAGGTCTCATGCTGATTTTTGTCTCCATACTCATTTTTTTTTTTTTGAGACACAGTCTCACTCTGTTACCCAGGTTAGAGTGCCGTGGCATCAGCCTAGCTCACAGCAACCTCAATTTCCTGGGTTCAGGAGATCCTTCTGCCTCAGTCTCCCAAGTAGCTGGGACTACAGGCAATGTGCCACCATGCCCGGCTAATTTTTTCTATATATATTAGTTGGCCAATTAATTTCTTTCTATTTTTAGTAGAGACGAGGTCTTGCTCTTGCTCAGGCTGGTTTCGAACTCCTGACCTTGAGCAATCCTCCTGCCTCGGCCTCTCAGAGTGCTAGGATTACAGGCATGAGCCACTGCGCCCAGCCCATACTCAATTTTGAACAAGGTGATATCAGTTGAGATTGGGTGTTTGTTACCAGGCAGAGTGAGTGAGAATACCCTTTGGCTCTGCTTTCTGTCACATAGCTGGATGGTCACATCCTCCTTTAATACCTGGAGGGCAGGGTAATGTGTGTGGGTCCCAGCCTCATTTCCAGTTTCTAGCAATTTTTCTACTCTGTTGAAGTTGCATCTCCTTCTTAATCCTATTGCCTGGCTTTCTATTACTCTCAGCTAATCTAGTATATGAGAATTGTGATTTTTAAAAAATGTGGTACTAGTATGGTTTTTCCTGCTCCCTCCCCCAACATTAAATCACACCAGGGTATACTCAAATTCTGCTTAGTTTCCCCAAACTTTCTGCCTAGTTGTTTTTTGAGATTCATGTGATTGAAAGAAAGAAAAAAAGACAATTCAAACTAGCTACAGTAGGTATGATTTTCTTTTTTGTGTGTGTCGGTGGGGGGAATGCAATCTGTGATGGAGGGGAGACTGCTTCCCCTAGTGGACAGAAAGCGGTATTGTTGTGAAAGGACTTCAGGACTAGTTTATCCAAATCTTCCCTGGTTTATCTCAATATTTTTACCAATACAAAGTTTTTAAAAATACCCCCTACACTTAAAATGAAAGGAAATTAGTTTTGGGGTTTTTTTCTTCTCTCTTTGCATCAATTCATTTTTATACTTTGGTCATCTAAAATGCTTTTAAAATCTTATTTTCTGTACTTCATATCTCTCACAATGTTATCTACAACATTAATTGGCATTATGACATTAAACTTGCTTGTATACATGTGCATCTTCATCTGCTTCCTAGTGTTTGCTTTCATACTTGCATGACTCCTACTGTAAAGATGGGTACCTTCATCTGTCCCAGCTTAATGACATCATTCCTTATTCATAATCATAATTTTTTGTTTATATAGTACCTTACAATTTCATCTTATTATTCATTCACATTATCACATACAGCATCTTATTATTCAATCGTATTAAAAATATTTAAGTGTCTACTATGTATCAGGCACTGCACCAGGCCCTGGGATACAAAGATGAAAAAGACAACAGGGGCTTGCAGGCTCCATGGGGAGGCAAGTAAGAATAGACAGGTACTATGTTCAAAAGTAAACTTCTGATAATAGCTTGGTTTCTAAATATATTTTCTTTTTTTTTTTCTTTCAGCATATTATGGGGGTACAAATGTTAAGGTTATGTATATTGCCCATGCCCCCCCCACCCCGTGCCCCTCTAAATATATTTTTAAAAACCAAGGCCGGGCGCGGTGGCTCACGTCTGTAATCCTAGCTCTCTGGGAGGCCGAGGCGGGCGGATTGCTCAAGGTCAGGAGTTCAAAACCAGCCTGAGCAAGAGCGAGACCCTGTCTCTACTATAAATAGAAAGAAATTAATTGGCCAACTGATATGTATATAAAAAATTAGCTGGGCATGGTGGCGCATGCCTGTAGTCCCAGCTACTCGGGAGGCTGAGGCAGAAGGATCGCTCGAGCCCAGGAGATTGAGGTTGCTGTGAGCTAGGCTGACGCCACGGCACTCACTCTAGCCTGGACAACAAAGCGAGACTCTGTCTCAAAAAAATAAAATAAAATAAAAATAAAAAATAAAAACCAGGAGGTCAGTATATTGACTAATGGATGCAGGAATTTTGTTTTATTTATTTATAGGCAGGGTGTCACTCTGTCACCCAGGCTGGGGTGCAGTGGCACAATCGTAGCTCATTATAAGCTTAAACTCCTGGGCTCAAGTGATCCTTCTGCCTCAGCTTTCAGAGTAGCTAGTCCCAGCTGGTGGCTAAAAAAATTAGCCACCATGCCTGGCTAATTTTTAAGTTTTTGTGGAAATGGGCTGGTCTTGAACTCCTGGCCTTAAGTGGGAGTTCTTGGATAGGACGTCCAAGATCGTCCTATCTTGGATGATAGGCCAAGATCCTATCGTCTTGGCCTCCCAAAGTACCAGATGTGAGCCACTGTGCCTGGCCAATTTTGTTCATTTAACAGTTTGTGTGTGTGTGTGTGTGTGCATGCATGCGCAGAAAAAAATGAATAAATTGACTTTTTGGCTTATAAACTATCTTTTAAGAGCATGGCCAGAACTTACTCCCTAATGGGTAACTAGACACACATATAGATCCTGCCCTCAAACCTGAATCCCGCATCCCTACCCCCTGCCAATCCCACCAGGGCTCAGACACTCAGGGCAGAGTCTACTCTGGTCAGCCAACTGTCCTCTTCTCTTTCTCAACATTTAGAACATCCCATTGGGAGACAATGCTGAATAAATGAAAATTCCTGCAAAAGCTCAAATTTCTTTCTCCTTTGCTCGCATTTATGTTGTAACCGATACGTAGGAGTTGAGCTTTTTCCTATGCTGCTTTGTAATTTTGGCATCGTTCAAAGAGGAAATGGACTCTAATGGCACGAGTGTTATATCCTGGGCAATAAATATTTTAAATAGAGAAGTGAATCAGCAGAGCCCACAAAACTTCTGAACCAAGACTAGTCACATGAGTAGTGGAGCTGTTCAATATGAATTTAACTTTCTCTTTGGGTCATTTCCCTTGAAATTGGGTGGAAATCCCCACTCCTATTGCTCAACTTGGTAGTTGCAAGGATGAGCTAAGGCCATAGTGCTCTGGCAATACTGTAGTGATAGCTTTAGCTGTCTGAATGGCCGCAGTAGTTAGTCCATTCTGTTTTGAACTTTTCTTCTATATGCTTTTTAAAAGTATGAATTATTAGAAATATTATTAATACAATATCCAATTAAGAGGACAGATGTTAAGAAAAAAAGGACTCAACACCATAGCAAAAACTATTTTATTTGGGGGGGGTATTTTGAAATGAATTTAATTCTAAGCAGTCCTGTGATCTCAAAAAAAAAAAAAAAAAGGTAGTGTGATGTGAGGTGCTCTTGAATGTCAGTAGGACTAGTTAGCAATCTGATTACCTATCCCAAGATTTCGAAGTCTGCTTCTAAAACTTACCTCATTTCCCCCCTCATTGCAAAGGAGATGTAAACTTTAATTTCAAACCTGAATTTTGGCATTGAGAAGACAGATATTATTTCTCCAGTTCTTAGTTAACTAATTGTGTATGTAGCTGAATGCCTGTTAAGGCAGAACTTGAAGATTATGCTGATTCTTGACTGACACTGACTTTCAGGTGGAGGCAGCAAATCACTTAGAGTAGAAATTACCCAAAGAAATCACTTGATTGGCCTTTCCTTGCTATGAAATTATGACTTTTTCCCTCCATTGCTCTAGGGAAAGAATATAACTGTATGCCCTACCCTGCTTCCAGTTTCTTCAGTGTGCATCATAGCTTTAAGGAGAGGTGGAAAATTTATATAAGGGACTCAAGAACATCTTGAAAGGACAGGCTGCAAGAGTCCAATCTCTTATCTCAGCATCAAGTTTAGGGAGCCTTGGTTGGAGGAAAACTGCATGGTCTAGTTCTAGACTTGGTGGCAGGTGAGGCCAGGATTTCAGTTTCCTGCCGTAAAATTACCACAATGGCTAGAGATGGAACCGAGGAGCTGGCCTCTGCACTGGCGAAGTGGGGATAAGGGAAGAGTTCTTGGCCTGCGAGGTGGCCATTTGGTTGGAATTTGGCCTCACCCAGCTTTCTTGGTGCTGACCCATCTGCTTGCAGAAGAGCTGACAAAAGAGCTGCCCTCTTGAGAACCCCACTGAACCGTGGGGCACGTGCTTGTCCTCTTTCAAGGAACTCTTTAGTCGAAACTGTTGCAGCAAGTGGAAAGTCCCTCAGGACACCTGTGACACTAGAATGACAGGAAGTGCCCCCATCTGGTGGTGATAGGGCATCCTTCGGCCTCAACTGCTGAGCAAGCTTGAGCCCCTCTTTCCCCTCTTCCGTTGCTGATGCTCACAAAGGGCTTTCTGTGCACTAACGGGGTTGGAGGGCTTTAGGAGATGGAACTGGACTTGCATGTGGGGCTGAGCATTACAGTTGGGGAGGGCATTGTTGACACCTCCCACTGTGCAGGTGACACTACAGTTACCTGAGTAATCATGTGCACATGGAAGGCAAATTAA